GAAATTACTTTTTAATAACCTTTTAAGATTAAAAAGAATTCTAAACTATTAAGAAAAAGGCTATTTAAAAGAAAGAAAGGATTTAAATAGTTAAGAAAAGGCCTGGAATAATAATAGAAATATTCTTTCTCTAGGTTTTTTTACTTATAAAGGTTTTCTAAGATTTTATTAAGGCTTATAAAAATTATATTCAAATTATTAGAAAAAGATTTAGAATTAAAAAAGATTTATTATAAATAGACTAGCTATAGATATTTCAAATAAATAAACTCTAATTCCTATAAATTCCTAATTCCTAAAATAAGAATACTAAATACCGGCTTTATTTAGAACTTAATAAAGAATTAGCTAATATTTTCCGGAATCTACTTATTTCTTAACGGAATATAGTTATACTATAATAATATTAGTATTAAGAATATTAAAAAAAGTAAATAAAGAACTTATAATAGCTATATATATCTTATAAAAAGCCTGAACTTCTAAAGTTAGATTCCGAATAGCTATAAATATTATATTATTAGTACTTAAAATACTAGTAATAGACTATTTAGTAATCTCGGTAGTAAACTTAATAATAAGGTTAATATCTTAAAGGTAGATATTATAGTATTTCTTTAAAGAATTAGTAAATATCTAAATATATTAGAAAAAACTCATTTTTAGAATACTAATTCAAATAGTATTATTATTTATTTTATTAAAATAGGAAGAAGAATTCCGAAACTTATTAATATCTTTCTAGTTTTCGAAAACCTAATTAATAGTATTATTCTTATTAGTATAATAGTATTTAGGATATATTTTAAGAAATTTCTTAAAGGTTATAATAATATCTTTCCAGAACTAGTAAGCCTCTAATAAGTAATAAGGAATCTGAAATTATATTAGCTTTAATAAATATTAAAGCTAAAGAACTTATTAATATATAAAACTTAGAACTCTTATTATAATAGTTATAATTCTTTTTACTAAATACTATAATATATAAGATAAAGAAATTAATAAGTAAATACTTGAAATATTTCAAATATCTACTAGTAATAGAAAAGGAGGCTATAAAGTTACTTTTATACTTATTATTATATAAATAAATAATAAAGCTAGAAGAAGATATTATAGAATTAATTAAAAATAATTAAAAAAGATTTGGAAAAGAATAGAGGAAAAGGCTAAAAGGTAATAATAAAAAAAGTTATTATATATATAATTATTAGAAAGGAAAAGAGTATATAGTAATATAAAGAGGTTCTTTTATAGAAATAGAGAACTATCTGAATTAACTACTAGTTTTTAAGCTAGTTTTAATTAGAAATTAGTATAACTAATTAATATATACTTTTAGGAGCCTATAAATAATCTCTAGGACCTTAGAAATATTTATATAGGTTTCTTATATAAATATTTATTAAATTCTTTTTATATAGCTATTTAGATTATTCTAATACGAGATCTAATAAGTAATATTAATTTTATAGGATAATACCTTAATATTTTGGATTAAGCCAATTAGAATACTTAGATCCTAAATGAAATTGTAATTACCGGCTAGTTCTTATACCTAGAGTATAATTATTTTTCCTTCTCGCTTATTTAGCCCTAATCTAATTAGACGATTTTTATATCTATTATTTAGATTATATTAGTAAACCTACCTCCCAAGATATTAGAAGTTTACCTTAATTAAATATATAATTAATTAAATGTTTTACTAGAATAAATTAATAGATCTTAAGAACAAGATCCTAGAAAAGGAATATAGTTATAATATATATAGAGTTATATATAACTTAAGAGTATATAATAAACCTCGGATATTACGGGTATTAATTAGGGAGATTAAAGACTCTTTAATATTATAACTAATTACTATTTATATTATAAGTATTAGGCTTATAAATTACTAATTATATATATATTATTAGGGCCTCCTATTTAGGGAAGGCTTCCCTGGACCTTATAGGAGAAATAGAGATTAGTTCTATACTGAATTTGATATTATAGTTTTATAACTTACTAGTTCATTCTATTATTTTATTACCTACTAATAAATACCTTATATATTTCCTTTAATTATATAGGTAATTAATACTATAGCTATACTAGCTCTTCCTAAGGGAAATATACTATATAAGGTCTGGTTTAAACAAAAGCTACCTACTGATTTCCTAGACTATAAGGAGAGTGCTTGCTATATACATGTGGCCCTAGGGGCTATAGGGCCTATAGAAGGTACTATTAAAAGTAGTGCTTCTGGAAAGAATAGAGAGAATAGAGAGAATAGAGAGAATAGAGAGGATAGAGAGAATAGAGAGGATAGAGAGGATAGCTTTTTCGTTAATAAGGAAGTAGAATAGGAGGAAGTAGCTGAGGAGATGATTTTATCTGAGCTAACTAGGAGGGTTGCGGAGTATATAAGAAAACAGAAGGAGAATATAGTAAAGAGGGCGAATTCCAAAGCTCTTGAATATAATATTCAAGAGATTGTAACCCTCCAGATCCCAAAGTAATATAGATTCGGTACGGAAATGGCTAGAATTCCAGTAAGAGTTCTGGAAAAGACTCCAAAGGTATATAGTTCATAAGCCTTACTTTTAATAAAAGCTAATTAAAATAGGGCTACCGCTTAGCTACTAAGTATAGCGAGCTTATTACTCTCTGGCCGCATAGTGCCCTTAATAAAATCACCTCCCAATCGACTTATCCTGATTTACCTACTACTGGTACAACCCACAAGAGGGATAAAATCACCCTCCCTAAAGCGGTAGCAAAGGAGAATAATCGTGGTTCAATTGCATTAGTTCAGAAGGCTGGAAGAGTATCTGAGAGAGCAAAGAAGAGAGTAGCTGAGGAGCAAGCACGTGAGAATGGAGCTAGAGAAGGAGGAGAATCAGGTGATCAAGTGGAGGGGAGGGCACCAAAAAGGGCTAGGGTAGCTATAGGAGCGCCTAGACGTAGTAGGAGGCATGTATAGTAAAGCTTTTGCTATTCCCGAGACCTCAATATTACCCGATTGATCAATCGGCCATTCGATTAATCAATCGGGACCCACTGTGGCTTGCGAATCGTATTCCATTTCCTATTGATCAATGGGAGCTACGATTGATTAATCGGAAGGCCGATTGACCAATCGTAGCGCCCGATTGGTAAACCGCTCGTATTGACGAACGGGCGTGAACAGAACGCCAATCCCCCTCAGCCCACGCTCCGACTCAAAATATCTCATCACGTTCATTGTTTGACCCTGCAAAACTATGACGTAGTTGCCAAGTCTAGGCGGTTGTATTCAGGTTCTCTCCACGAAACTAGGTACTCAACCAATTTCATTGTCTTCGCTCCTCGCTCCTCTGCTTTGTGCCGCCCCGAAACATCCTGGTTGAAGTACACTCTAGCTCTCTCTGTGACTATCGCCTTATTGAAATGACGCTCGTATGGTCTGCTAGATCGACTTCGTCGAGACGTTTCTTGTCTATCACGCCAAGATTACCCATCTGTGGTTCGTCCACTTTGAAGAAGATAGGGTTGTTCCTGGGCACGAGACCAGCAACATTCTTGAGAGCCGTGGACATGGAGTATTTGAGGTCGACTTCGGGCTTGAATGTTCAGAGTGTTGCACGAAACTTCGTCGTTGCCTGGGCAGCGTCTCAGCGCAGCAGCGGCCGTAGCTGGAGGACTCCGCTTGGGAATGGCCGGCTCATACAGTGCGGTCCGACCGCAAACACGACAAAACGGTCGGCTCTTTTATGCCCATAACTAAGCTTTTCAACGCACAACCTTCATTATTTATACTAAGTGATGCGATATAGAATAGAACCGGCGAAAATACTGATTAATCAGATTTTTGTATAATTTGTGGTTCATTAATAATTAAGGCCCTAAAGTGCACGGAGCCTTTTACTTTTTTTGATTTTCCGTCATAACGCAAACCGGCAAAATATTTGCTCGCTAAGTCACGTGACCCGGACTTCAAGGAGAGATTAGGGCATGCTCACGCAGCCTTATTATTAATAAAATAAATAATCAACTATAAGCCCTATAATCTTAATTGAAAAACCTCTGCCGCTAAGGTACGTGGCCCCAAGGAGAGATTAGGCGCATTCCACCATTATTAATAAAATAAGTACTAACTATAATACTAATTCATACCTGGACTATAATATAAATAGGGTTTCAACGCTTACTTATTAGCTGAACTAATTGCCATCAAAACTAGCTTACTTATTTAGCTTAACTTGCTCCTTTAACCTCAAGCTTTTTTTTTTTTCCCCATCCTTTTGCATATTATCCATTCGTCCATTACCTTTTTAGATATCGTTCTATGGCGTTTTTGCTTCTTTACGCACCAAGCAGCTTGTTTAATACTTAATCCCTTCCGATATGCATCTATCCAACGGAATATACGGTTGCAAAACCTCCGCATAGTCTCAATCGAACAAGCTTCAAGTGCCTCTACTACCTTAACCTTAGCATCTGGGAAGCTAGAAATAGTATTAGTATACTTATATTATAATATAAAGATAAGAAACTTACTAGTCTGTGCCGTAAGTCTTTGCTCTTGCTATGCGAATATAGGCTTCTCCAAAATAATCGTCTCATTACCACCAATAATAAGCTTCCGCTGAACCCAAAAGAGAGTTGAATCTTCAAGCTCTAATTTATCGCTTTGTTCAATATCTGAACCATTAGAATCGTCCTCTATATTAGAGGGTTTCCCATGCCGTTCGTCAAGAGTTGCTTGGATTGCAGCTTCTTCAGCTATGGTGAGAACTGTAATTGAATCAAGAGTTGAATCAGCTCGCTTACGCTTCTGAAGGCTTACAGAGGTAGCCATTGGAAGTATATAAAAGGGATAGTTGATTAGGTTTGTGGTTGTTGAGATATTAATATAATTATGGAAGAGCGGTCAACCTGGGGGGGCAGTCACGTGACAGCCAAAGTTAAAAAATGACCATACAAAGCGCAAAAATATTTGCTCGCTTAATTACATATATTATAACTCCCTTAATAATAAAGATATTATAATTTTGAGACTATAGAATTGATTCCTAGCGTATATAGTATAGTTTTAATTAATACGATTTATATCAATTAGTATTGTGGTGGTTTTTATTTTTTTTTGTCGTGTTTGGGTCGGACCGACTGTAGTCGAGCGATTCTCCTGAAGGAGCCATGTTGCGATATTCTCCCCACCATATTCCTCCCTGATCCGGGTGCGTCCTATCAGGGTAGCATGCTCTCGGCCGTCCTGGGTTTGGCACAAGTCCCAGCGGAAACGAGAAGCATGTTTTATCGTCGCCATAGAGTCAATACTTTCGCGTCGAGCCACGCGCGGCTGCGGGAGCCCCGGCGACGGAGGAGATTCGACTGAAGTTACAGTGGTCGAGGCCAACGTGTCCGGCGTGTCCAGAGGATCTATTGACAACACACCAGAGGGCGCGATGTTGTATATTTCGGGTCTAAGCTCGTCGGAGGTTTCATCTTCAGACAGAAAGACATACTCTATAGTAGCCGACTTGAAGCGTCGTGCCGCATCGCCCGATTCGAAGCGGAACTCAGTGACGATCAAAGAGGCCGGATCTCCTGTTGACAGGGTGCCGTGGACGACGCCAACCAACGACGCTCGAAACCTTAGAGCCTGCGACTTCTTGTAATTGGTGATTAAGGGTCGGGAAATTTGAGATGATGGATTGGCGGTTTTGTAGCTGTCGAAGCCATCGCCCTCGGTTGGGAGGAGATAAATTGCTTTTTTAAGCTCGTTGGACATATCTAGTTGATATGGAGTCTCTGGAGGTTGAGTAGTGGCGGAGAGACGTGTGCGTCTTTTGATAACCTTATAAGGTCACTCCATGCGCAGCAGAAGCACAGCACGGATCTATTCTTTCGTTGCTAAGGAAGAAGGAGCATCGGTTAATGGTGGAGGTGAGGTGTTGAGGTGGTGAGTTGAATGACGACCGCCTTTGTCATTGCAGTCGTGAGGATGGAACATGAGGCATATTGCGCCCGACGTCCTCGTGTACGGAGCGCCACTATTACCGCGACCGGCCAAAACTAAGACTTTAGGTTGTGGTTGACACAAGGCCATAAGGCAGCAGCAAAAACAGCGGCTTGAGCGGGTTCTTTCCACCCCCAACCCCACCACTTCATCACACCGAATTCCGGTTAGTCCACGTGTCCACCAAGACTACCAGGTTCGGACAGCGTGCAGATTCGGGCCAGCCGTCTTCCTTATTTTCATCCAATAAAACCTGGGAAGCTGGGAGCGGCTGGGAGTGATATTCCCTCCAGCTCCCCATGCATTCTAGTTTGGTTACACAAAAGACACTCCGTTCGGTACATGGAGCATCTGCGCCTATTTTGTCGCTCAACGACTCACAAGTTCACATGGCCTAGCACCCCAATGTCGGTAAATGATATTCAATTCGAAATGTATCTTTTATGGGGTATACGGTAAGTAGGACCATAACGGAGAGATGGTTGATTCTAATATCGAGTTAAGTGCTCCATAGCGACATAATACTACACGCAAGGCTCTGGATGGGATTTCGGTCGTACTGCTGTGCATAATGCACAGTGTGTGGCGCACCTGTGGAACCATCATTTCAACCCTGCAATCAAGCCGGCTTTCAGCTTGCCATTGAGAACCATGCCGTAGGCGCCTCTTTATTTATCAGAAGGCTCGGATCTCCGGAAGAAATTCGATCCCTCTATTCAAGTAGCTGATTTCCGTCCTGGGCGGATTTTAACCGTACTAACTCGCAAGGGATCCCAGAAACACGACTGAATCTCGATAGAGATAAACTGCACATCGCAGAAGTTGATTGCGGACAAAATCTAAATTCGAACAAGGCTACCGCGTGCGAACCATATCTTACTCTATTCGTCCCATGGAAGTCTGCTTACCTTCCTTACCTACTTTCGCGGGGCCAACCGGCAGACTCGACTCCGCAAAACTTTGGCAAGGACAGATCGAGACATGAGTGCAATTCCCGAGCTGGACAAAGAAGCACCGAGTTGGGGAGAACTGGAGAATAGCTCAACAGGTAGGCTATTGGCACTGACTGCAGTACTTTATACCTCAAGTAATAAGCTAAATCGAGATAGGAGCTGAATCTCCCGAGTTGTATCCGTCGCCGTCTGTCGTTGCGGGTGATGGACTATTTGCAATTCTGGGTCGCGATCTCAGCCTGTTGAGGCTGTATAAGGTTGGGTTTGAATCTGCTCAGTGTATCCAAGGATATCACTCTAGCCTGGACCCAAACCCAAACTCGCCAGAGAGAATGCGGCAAATGTTCTGGCAAGGCCAAAGCAATTCGACAAGGACGTTCGATTTGGGACTCCGACTCAAACTTAGCGACAAAATTGTTGGCCCGGGGCTCATCACTAAACAAGGATTCGTCGATTGTAAATGGCCTTCGCAAAAAGTCCGGACGGACAGTCCTGCTGGCCATGATTCACGAATGTACCAAAAGGCAACAACTTACATCCAAAACGGAAGGTTGATCCAGGCGGTTGCCATTGTTTGTGCTAATGAGTCCGATATTTCATGGCAGATAGGCGGCAACGTCCAGATGTGGAATGACCCCTCCATGCCGCACTCCACACCCTCGGACATAGCATATACTGTCCAAGTGTCACCAATTGGTGACAAAAGGTCACCTGTACTGACTGTCGCAGGGAAGGACCCCTCGATGATTGAGCAAGATGAGAATGCCGAGGAGATTATGTGCATGGACGTGGCAGTCTTCTTGAACAGAGAGCCACAAGATCTTGTCCATGTCGCCACCAGTCCAACTCCGAAGTCGGTCAATTTTACCCATGGATGTAGACACCCTATCACGCTCGCACCAAGAAAAGGACAATGCTTGGTGGCGGTCTTTTCTTTCCGCAACATTAGTCAGAAGCTCGAAGCAGAAACCATGAGTTGCCCATCCTGGTCAGAGCTGAGAGATCGACTTGGCATCAAGAAATCGGGCGAGCAGAACATTCAGCCCGCAGCTTCATCACTACTCAACCTCAACGCTGCTCTGGTGAAGAAAACCGGTATATCCCAACTTCATGCTATGCCGGACATTATCACGCGCACGGTTAAGCAACTCTGCTCCATAGCAATTCGTTTCGAGCTCGACGCTGACGAGTCGATTTACGATGACTGGAACAGCCTTTCCTCAGCTGGAGCAGCTCAAATAGAGGATGGCTCTGACCAGGCAGTTGGCGCGCACAGCCATGAAACCGAAAGCCAATTTGTGGTATCCATTGTCAACAATCTTGCAGCTGGGGCTATTACAGGTCAGCTTATTCACGAACCATATTTGTAGGTTCCCATGACGATTTCGGTCTCATTGACGAGAAAAGCGTAAGCTCCGACAACTGACTGTTCTATGTATAATAGTTGGCACATACGGCTCCTCGCTCAGATCCTGACTGTACTCAAACCTGAAAACCCTGTAAATGGGCAAAGGCAAAAGCGGGGCGAGGGTTCTAGAAACGTGAAAGACCTCAAGGAAATTATCTCTGGAAGTATTTCCAGATATCTATCTCTCATAATTCAGAAGGAAAACCTAGTCGGATCCAATTTCAGTCTCCTGAAGGAGGTAGTCGAAATCCAAGCATTTTTGGCCATGTCTCTGCTCTCAGCCCATTCCTCCGTTAATTTAGAGTCCCTTCCACAAGATGAAATGGTAGGATGGATTCTACCTATCCAGGTAGAGACGGTGCCAGGTGAAGAATCATTTGACGCTGTTTTTCGACTATTGCAGTGGTGCCATCGCAAGATCCTTAGGGATAAAAGGTTCACGAACTTATTCTCGAAGAAACCCTGGCTCCAAAAATACCTTGACACCAAGCAGGATAGGCTAGACCTGGAGCTGGAACGTTATCGTGATGGCGCGCTCAGACCCTTGCCGATGCCATCTGAGATAGATATTCTCAGTGGAAGCGGCGATGCTGCCGACGTCTTTTCTCAACTTGCCCGCGAGGAGCAGTGGCTGCGATTAGCGCTTTTGCAAGTCGAACTATTCGCTGACGACGATAGAGTACGGCCGTTTCTTTCGAAGCTGGTGGATCAAGTCAGTAAGCGACTGAAGAGGAGAGCTACTGCGCCTATTGGGTACCTGCCGCCATGGGGTTATCGATGTCTCGATCACTTGCTGGAAATGGATTGGGCGGTTGCAAAAAAGAAACTTGGATATTCCTGGGAAGATCTTAGGACAAGATTCAGAGCTCTTACGAGAACTGTCGTTACTTCCTAAAATCAGATCTCTCGTTCTTCGCATCCAGAGACTCAGCAGATCCATCTTGGATACAAGGGCACTGGGACATGGACTTGTCGAGCAGCGTATGCTCGTCTTTCTTGCAAGCTGCAAAACTGCTTCAAAAGGATCCTGACAACTCTCATAACCCTGCAAACACGCTAGGTAGCTTAGGTGCGTATTCATGAACACAATAATTTATCTTTTCAAAAACGCAGGAAGACTGATATATCAGGGCATCTAGATCTTGGGACTATCTCTCTCATGATGTCCAGCCTCGAAGCAGCCCACGACGTTCTTCATCCTCTACAAAGAGATTCAGGCTTCCCGTGGAAACAGAACCTTGCAGATCGTGCCCATCACCCTCAATTTATGTCTACGTCTTTGGCCATCCGTGATGGCAAATTGGATCAAACAAGACTCCAAGGACGGATAAACGCGCTCAAGAATCAAGATAAGACGAACCCTCTAGTTTCTAGTAAAGTTGATACTTTCAAGGGTCTCGCTACCAGCGTTCCAATTGTTTGGAATGAAAAAGATTTGGACATTACAGAGGGTGAGGTTCGGATCGTTGATTTCCCGTCTAAGACGGTGTCTCACTCGAAAGCCGATGTTATTGAGCTGCTCAAAGAGAATGTGAGGATACATATATTCTGATATGCCGATTACTTTCTTACGTAACCTGCTAACATAAAATTCCTCCAATCAAGCGTGTTGATCGGGGTGCTGCTTATAGAATCATGTACGTCGCCTTCGCCAACTTCCAACTGCCAATCAGATTCAGACAGAGAAAAGTACTGACGAGCCCCAAGCGCAGTTGACGTGCTAGGGAGAACGAAATTATTGAATGCCTACCTCCATTTTGCACACGAGGATGCTTGGGACGCAGTAGTTGATTATTTCGGGTCAGCGTCGCTTTTTCGGGGATTCACCGATATACTCCACGACGATACTAAAGAACTCTCTTGGAGGATGTCCATTAACATAGCGCATATCATTCTTGAGCCTGGCACAGAGAGGGATACCACCGAGCCTCGAGACCGCTGGAAGCCACCGAAAGATGTGGTCTCTGATAAAGATGAACGAGCCTTTCGAAATGTTTGCTCGACCATTTGCACTACCGGGGATAGGCTCGGAGAATTCTGGACTTGTTCATTCTTAGGCCCCTTTTGTAAGCCTAAAGAGGGTCAAAAGAAGAGTAGTCAGTCACCTGCACAAAAGGGCAGTGAACGCCAGAGGAGCAGTCAATCGCAATTAACAATCAAGGACATGTCTACAGGCAAGGACACAGGACACCAGTCATTACTGGTCTTTGATATTGATAAAGTCACAAAGATTAATGAGAGATATAAATTCGACAAATACAGCGCTAGAAACCTGGTATTTATTGTTCAACTCACCCGCCTTATCTGGATCTTATCGGGATTGTATGAAAATGTTGCTCAATATCTTGAAGACACAATGAAGCTAGAGGTTCAAAATTTCCTCCAAAGCAGTATCTCGTCCTCATCTAATACGCTTCTAGGCCAGCGAAAAACTGTATGAAGAGATAGCCTCTCCTGAGTTTGCTAAATCTGGCGCAGAGAAAGCTGCTGGCGTAACCGACATACTTCGCAAGGTTCTCTGGGGTATCGAGTGGCTGGAAAAACTTGAATGGAGCATCAAGTCTGCCGAGATTGCCATAAACGAGGCAATCAATTACGTAGAAAGGAATGTGTCTAAGGTAAATGTTCATCAATCCCATAAATCTGTAAATCAAGAGGTCACATCATTCGCAACTCACCCGACTAAATGAGTATAGAGACGGCAGTACTGGCATCCAAAACTGGAAGAATTTGAGCAAGAGCAAGTCTGGGGCGAAAACAGAAGGGCGCAGTCTAGAATGAAGGCATTGCGAAACCGAGTCGAAACGATTGATCGCAGAGCTACGGGCATCAAGGACAATGTAAGCATATGCCCTTGGCTAGCCCAACTCCAACGCGAAAGCTGGACGCTGATTGCATTAAATAGCTGATATCTCTCACCAACATGTCTTCCACGAAAGCAATTCTAATGACTACGGCAGACACCTCGAGGATGAAGATAATTTCCATTCTGACAGCTGTCTTTTTACCCTTCACCGTCGTTGCAGTATGTTCGGCGCTCTCTGCCCGATCCTCAAAAGAGCGACGTCTAATTGTGTCTCTTAGGTTGTGTTAACAATCCCAATGTTTGAATGGCCGAAGGCTAAGGAAGGAGATATCCTCGTACCCTTACCATTCAAGATATTTTGGGCGACAAGTCTTCCTCTTGCTGCCATAATTGGATTACTTATGTGGTTAATTTCTGAAGGCGAAAAGCGCGACTGGAAGTTACATCCGAAAGCGTCGGAAAGTCAGCCTGGAGACAAGGCGTCAAGGTCCCCTTCTTCCCAACCGGCGAGCCGCCTCAAGGTCGCTTCCAGCAACGTCCAAGGGAACGCTGCTGTGAGTTCGCGAGCAGGAACACAGGCCAATAAATCGGCGGGTAAGAACAGAACCATCGCCAACGACAAGAGTGGAATCATACCGAGATGGTTCCGGCGAGGTCCAAAAAGGGCAACTGATATCGAAAGCGTTCATAGCGAACCACAGGGAGACCTGGTAGTAGAAACGGACATAGGGAAACAAGATTGACCTCAAGAACTTTCCTTTTTAGTGGGTCTGTTGGAAAATGGACGAGTATCAGAGCCATGCGCGCGCATCCATAAAGGATGCAGGATAAGGAGGGCTTTTTGGGAGGGTTAAGTGGGGAGAATGCGTTCTGGCTATTTTCAAAGCGACGAATGGTAATAAATGATTGCTGTATTGGTATTTGCATCTAAAAGATAATAAGGATCTTGGGTTTCATATAAAGTTATGGTATTTTCATCTCAAAATCAGCTAGCAGAAGAATAGATGCGTAGGTAATGGCAAGTATATTTTACTGTATTAGCAACGGATTGAGAATAGAATACTGTGTAAAGGTCCGGGAGCAGATAATAATGAGCAGAAGAGCTCAGTTAACCTTCAAATCCCAACTGAAGCTAGCCTAGAAGAGGATATCAGTGAAAATCCTTGAATTGTTACTCTATTTGGCTTAGAACGTATTTATTTCGAAGATTCAAATAAAATGAAACTTTTCCTGTAGTTGAGGCAATACTCTTGCTGAGCTGTCGGTCTCAAGAGGTTGAGATTCCTAACGTGATACAGCCTGATTGTGGTATGATTCCGACATCCAATTGTAGAAATTTGGGGATAGCCACTTGATAGGAGCGTCTCAAGTAAGCAACTCGATTCACTTACTGGTGAGACAATACCAGCTGATAGTCTGCTATATTTGCTATATCTTGTATTAGAAAGATCTGTCAATCAAGAGAGTAGCAAATAGTTAGATCATATTGACTTATGGCATGTAATGTCCACAGCTTTCATATTTTAGCCATTATAAAAGTAATAGTTATAACTTGTTATTATTTTTAAGTGAGATTAGTTCTCTTTTAATTTCTTAATTTCCGACTTTAAAAATTAATAATAATTCGATTATTTATTATTTTTCTTCTAAATTCAAAATAATAATTAATATTTTAATATTTTATTTTATTTTATATATTTCAGAAAAATTAGAATATTTTTAAATATATTAAATATAATAAAATAATAAAGTCTAGTTTAATATTTATAAAAAATTAAAGATTATCTAAAGTTTTAATAAATAAATATATAATAATTTATTTAATAGAATTATATATATAATAGATTAGACTTATAGTTTAAACTTAGTTATATAATCTTTATTATTATAGCTATAAGATATATAGCTTATATATATTTAGCTTATATAAAAGCAAGACTCTTTTCTTTTTTCTTTAGTTATTTCTTCTTATATTAAAACTATTAGTTTTCTTTATATAAAGGCCTGGCCTATATCAGAGAGTGCCTGGGCATCTTGGCTAGGAAGCACGTGCGAGGGTGGTTTGTATGTATGCAAGCTCTTAAGGCTTCGCACCTCTCACGACTCACTTCCCTCCTTAAGTTTCAGTCAATACAACTTGGATTGCTCCCTGACTTGCTACCTTTTTGGTAACCCCTCTTATACTCTGAAACTTCCTTTTGGAGTCGGTACGGCAATCCAACACCTGCATACGATCGCATAATTGACCAAGTACGACCGAGTACAAGGGATAGTAATATACAAGAGAGAATTATCAGATTTACCCTATTATCCCGGGACCCTCCCCGGAGAAATCAAGCCATCGGAAAAAAGCATTATATAAATACAAGAAAAGCCATCGTTCTAGCTTTACGATATTAGTAATTAAAGGGCCAGGAGGCCAGTTCCCGGAAGACCCGCGAACTCGAGAGCCTATAGAGAATCGAGAAAGTGGAAAAGGGATTCGAAAAAGATATACCCGAAAGTCAAATTATATAATCCGGAATAATAAGCGAAATAGATAGTATTAACTAAATCCGATATAATAAAATAGCAAATATCTCCTCCGGAACTCCCAGACCAAGTATCGAGATCCAGTATACCCCTTGCTTCTTCCTATAATTAATAATATTATAAAGATTAATAGTAGAGAAGGAAAAGAAGTTAGTAGCTATACGGGAGATAAATTATAAGTTAGAGAGACAAATCCTGGTAATAGAATAGTAATAAATGGAAGGAGAATAACCGAATAGTAATTACCCTAGTATAAGCGGGGCACTCCCAGCCCAAACTCAATATTCCGGAAGCCAAACTACCAGATAATTACTGCCAAGTATCCGGGGGCCCCTAACCTTCTTTAATATAGCTATTAGATCCGAACCCGTTATTACAGACTATAGCCAATACCTAATAACTACCCGGAATTATTCCCGGGCAAAGGTACCATTTACCTTTAACCTACTAAAAGATAATATTCGCTTATAGATTATAGAAATAGAAAACTACCTTATTATAGAATATATTACGGATCTAGTAATATAAGCCCTTATTATATAGGACTACCTTATATAATTAATTAAACTAAGAATTATAATAGCTAAACTAAATAGATTATCCCAAGATATAGTAAAGTTTAATAATTAGATCTAACTAAAGATATAGCTATTTAAAAAGTATAGACCTAGAAATACTATTATTAAGGCAAACTTGAGAATATAATAATATAAAATATTCGAGAACTAGTTAGTTTAAGACTTTATAAACTATTTTAAACTTAAAATACAAGATATATTATAGAACTATAAGAAAAGGGCAATATAGTCAAACTATTAATTAAAGCTTATAAAGCTAATTCTAGAAAGAATCTTTATTACCTTAAATAGAATAATATCTCCTATTTATATAAGGCTTAAATAAGTAGTATTTACTATAAAGGAATTCCTATAAGTAATAGCTAGACTATTTCTAGTACCAAAAGAGAATAATAACCTATTAGAACTAGTATAACCTTACTAAGAATATAGAATGAAATTTGATCTACTAGCTTCAGAATTAAATACTATACTATAAGCTTTCCGGAATTCCTTAGAACTCTCTTCGGGTAACTTTAATAGAAAGTATAAGGAAATACTATTTCCTGAAATTCTAATAGACTAAAGAAAGAAAATATAAAAAGAGAAACTCTATTTTAAATACTAATATTCTAGATACTTTATAAATAAATATCCGGGAAAAGATAAGCCCCTCTAATAATTAAGATAATAGAAGTATAGAAAGAGCCCTTATTATCTAATAAACTAATAATATATACTTTATACTAATATTAGATTATTAACTATTCTAATTCCTATTATATATTTCCTATAGTAATACTTCCTATTAGTAATACCTTATTACTACTAAAAAATTATTATCTAATAATAGAAAATAGAACGAATATACTAGTAATAATATAGGAAAATAAAATAAAAAGATTAAGAAACCAGAAACTTATAAATCTGGAACTAACCGGAGCTATATAATTACTAGATATTAAATTACTTATATTATAGAAAGATATTTCTTAGAAAAATAAGTTTCTTAACTTTATAGAAATATATCCAGACTTCTATATAGTATATTTAAAAGTAAGAAACCGGAATAGGAAAAATATATAAGTTAAAGTAATTATTAATTTTATTATTATTATAAATTTTATTAATAATAAGTTCTAAGAAATCCTTTAATATACTAGTCTAAACTAATACTATCTAATAATAAAAGATATAAAGGGCCAAGTTCTTATTCTAGTATTATCTATAGTAATATATAAAATCTATATTAAGTATAGCTAAATATAAATACCGAGATTAATAAAATTTAGGGAAATAAAACTAAAAATAGTAAATATTATTTTTAGATTACTATAGTTAAGAGAATATAATCCAAAAATTAACTAGTAAACCGGAGAACTTATAAGAAGTAATAATAAGTATAATATAGAAATACTAGCCTAGATAGTAATAGTACTAGATATATTTAACTTTTCGGAAAAAGATAAAAATAAAAATACTATAGAAAAACTCTTAATAAATAAAGAACTATAGTTCTATTTCGAAATTTAAATCTAATTAAGAATATTTCCGGAAAACCCCTAATAAAATACTAAACCGAAACCAAATTACTTAGAAAGTATAAAAGATATAAATATATTTTTAATAAGACCAAGGCAAAAAAGCTTTCTTTATACTAGCTAGAATTTAATTACGAGATATTTCTGAAGCTAGGATTTAAACTATTATAAGAACTAATCTATAACTTATTAGAAAAAGAATTAGGAATCCTAAAAAATTATCTAGAAAAGATATTAAGACTAGAAATAATCCGAAGATTCAAGTTACTAACTATAATATTTCTTTTATTTATAGGAAAGAAAAATGAGAGCTATAGACCCTATATAAACTATTATAGCCTAAATAGTAATATAATCCCTAATAAATACCTAATTCTACTAATCTCCGAAATACTTAATTAATTTAGTTAAATAATAATCTTTATAAAATTTAATTTATAAAATATATATTACCTAATTAGAATTAAAAAAGAATACAAATAAATAATAGTATTTAGAATAAGATTTAGACTATTTAAATACCTGGTACTTTTATTTAGTCTAAATAATAAACCCGTAATATTTCAGGTATATATTAATTAGTATTTTAGAGAATTCTTAGATAATATTCTAATTTACTCTAAAAAAAAAGAAGCTATATATAGACTATATAAGTAAAGTTCTAGAATAGCTAAATAAATATAGCCTTTTTTATAAACTAGAGAAATACGAATTTAATATAAAGGAAATAAAGTTTCTCGAATATATTATCTTATAAAAAGAGATAAGAATAAATAAAATAAGAATAGCTATAATCTAATATTAGCTAGTTCCGGAAATAGCTAGAAAGACTCTAGCTTTTCTGGAATTCTATAATTTCTATAGATATTTTATTTATTAGTATAGCTTAGTAATACTAGAAATAATATTATTATTTAAAGGCAAATAATAATTCAAATAAATAAAAAAAGTAATAATAGCTTTTAGAGATCTAAAGAATAAATTCAAGAATATTCTAATTCTTATATATTTTAGCACCCCCCCCCTAAGCTAAAATAATAGCTCGAATATAATATATTAGTTTTTATACTAGTAAGAATTATATTATAAAAACAAAAGAATTACTACTTATATTTAATAGTATTTTACTCGAGAAAATTTATTTTAGCTAAAATTAATTATTTAATCTTTAACTAAGAACTATTAGTAATAGTAGAAAGTATTAAATATTAGAGATATTTTCTAGAAGAAATATAAAAGAAAATTATAATTATTTTAGATTATAATAACTTAAGATATTTTATAATAATAAAAATACTTATAAGATAATAAGTTTATTAGATAGTAATTTTATTTATAATTAACTTCAAAATTATATATAGAATAAGTTCGAAAAACCTGGCTAATAGATTAT